AACCCCTTACCAAACTATCTAGAAGAAACACCACACTTCATGGAATATTACAATATTGTTTGTTAAGAAGTTATCAGAAAGCGTTTTTGGTTTTACTTCTATTGCAAGCAGTTGAAATATGGAGGCTAAGCAATAATGGTCACGGAGAAAAAGTGAAACCACAATAATAACTGTGGTAGGAGATAAGAATCAAAGTGAATAAATAAATTGGTAAGCCATGAAAAAAGCTTTGCTGTTCAGAAGATAGAGATGATAGTATATTAAAAGCAAAAAAGAATTGATATATATGATAATGACATAGAGATGAGATCATAGTGTCATATTAGTTGCAAGTTACAGTTCATTTTTCCAATGACCATCCCTTCAATTTTGATTTGAACTACAAACCCCAAGTAGAATATTTATTTGTGATTTTTTTTCTTCTTGTAAGACTGGAATTAAGATTAGAGCAAGTCTATTTGGGCATTTGCATCATTCCAGTGCATGCAAATAACAGAAGCTTTTGAATGAACATGCATTTGAAGGAAAGGAAAACGCTGATGCAAGCTCACTTTTTAGAGATGTCAAGTTATTTCTAATTGACCTAATTATATTGATTAAATTGCATTATTCTCAAATTCAGTATGAATTGCTTTTCTTTTAACTAATTAATCAAATCACAAAGATTTAAATGCCATCTAAATTATCCAAAATCTTACAAATAATTTAATCTACAATTAGACACCAAAAGTTTACTTTTGACCAAATTAAACTCTTAATTTTTTTCCTTATAATTAGCTCTCTTTCATTTAACTCCACCGCTTTGATGGACGAATACTATTATATATCTGTGATTTGTGTACGTGGAGCAGCTTATCCAATAAGAAAAGGCAAGCCACTTTTTCCCTCAGCAAAGTAATTGACTTATGCGGAACTAGTTGTATCCAAGTTTCTGAGAGGGGAGGGAGAGAGGAATTAGACAGAAAAAAAGGACAGCCTACCAAAAGCAGTCATTCATATCAGCAAAATGTGGATTGGTTCTTCGTTTGACAATCAACTTTCAGCCCTTTTGAGGTTTGCTTTTTTGTTCAAGTGCGCCTTCCTCTTTTCCTTTCACCACCAATTCATTCTCTTGTTAGGGCCCCATTCTTCCCACCAAATTTCACCAAAATCAAGATTGAATATTCAGTTGTTTTAGAGTTGTTGCTTACAAATTGCTCTCAAAACAGTTTTTGCAGTCTAATCAGTAGATGAAGTTGGTTTGTGTTGTCTCAACATTTGGAATATTTGAAGTCCAAGTTCATTCACCGAAATGATCTAATCACAAGTCTAAAATTTATGTTATTAATGATAATCAAAACTTTTGAAATTTAAAATTTGTCATCAAGTAAAGTTTCATATTCATATTTTTCAAGTTAATAACGAATTTAAAACAACTTTATAACATTAAAAAGATCAAGACGTAGCCTCAAAGCATCTTTATAACTTTCAAAGGTAACAACCATAATTTATTTACATGATTTTTAAGAAAGTTTTCATTTTTAGAATCTTCAATTGACTTTTGCTGACATCTTTAATCTTTAAAAGTTAAAGTAATCTCTCGCAGGAAGTGAATGTGAGATGCTAACAAAGACCCAATATACCAACAAAATTTAATCTAGTTATTAAGGATGAACTTATATCCTATAAAGATATAGCTTTAAATTTCACTGTTAATCCGAGAAAATTATTGATAGATAATTTGTAGCCACCTCTTATAATTGTTTCTCACCATGAGACTTGCTCTTACTTTGGTCAGTGCACAAATCAAATCCAATTTACCTATACTTCTATAAAAAATAAAAGAGGCGCAATAGTTATTACTGTGAAACATGAAATATTAATTTATGCAAGTTGATCAAAGAGCAGCGTCAATTTCAAGACGTTAGCAGGGTTGGAGAATTTCAGGGTTTAATATTATCATTAAGTGTCAGTAGTTATCTGGTATAGGACAAAAAAATATATACGAAGGAGCATGACTTTCGGATCCTCAAGCAGGAAAAATTAGTTTCAAGCAAAACTTGAAAACTTATGGCATCTTCCCTGAAATATTGAGTCCAATTCAATCACATTAAGCCAGGGGCAAAACTTGTTTGGCTAAAGCCATTTTTGGTGGGTGAAGGTGAGAAGAAAATAAAATGTCCATGGTTGAGTCAAGTCAGGGAAAAGGAAAAAACCCATTTCAAAAGACTAAACTTTTCAAGACTTAGAAGTACATAGTTAGCCTATGTAAAAGGTAAAAATGTTATTCTCATGCTTTCTTGAATGACGGAACAGAGAGGAAATGAAGTGCACGAGTGGAAGGAACTGCCAACCCACCTTGTCACTCCCTTTCATTCTAAACGGTGAAGATCTCTTCTTTTAACATACTATTATTAAAGCTCATGCAAGACTAATTTACTTCTTTTTACGCAAATGCAAAAAGCTCACCAGCAAAAAAGCTCCAAAGTTGGTGTGCCTTTATACATGCACGTTAAGTGTTTGACTGTTTGCATTATTGTTGATGACAGTGTAGCATACTCTTGTTTGTACATATCTCAGTTTGCCTTCCTGTTTCTTGTCCTTTCCTTTGATTATCCCCAAGTGCTACTTTGAAATATCTTATTCTTCAAAAGCTATGACCTCAATTTCTTCTTTTGATGCAATGAAAAAGATCCAACTTTGCAAAAATAAATCTTATGAGCACCATATGTTGTTCTCTTCGTACAGTTCTGGTTTGATTGCAGCATTTGCCTGATGAGTTCAAAAAGGGGACAGAGGGGGTGTATATGGGTTTGAAATAGATATAACTTGCAACCCATTTGGTTTCTTTTCATGCCCCAATTTTGGTCCAGCTTTTAAAAAACTTTGTCTCTGTGAGAAGTCTCATTCTATGATAGTTTAGTTTCTGCAGCGAATATGCAGAGTAATGCTATGAATTAATGCATTTTGGATGTATCTTCCGTTTTTGTCAGTATCTGATGGTGGTATTTGATGCATTTAATGATTTTTTGGTGCATCCTTTGACAGCGTTGAAGATTGGAAAGCGAATCCTGACACAATAACATATGCATGAAATAAAGTGGCGCGATTCTGGATACAAGCAATTCAAGCTCATGGACTCGACAGTTTTACCTTCAAGTCACAAGCGCTCTAAAAGGTTTTCGCTCTGAAAATTCTCTGTTCTATCTTTAGTTCAAGAGTTTCATTTTCATCTCTTCTTTCAAAGTTGTGGTCTTCTTAAACTAAATGAACTGAAGATAGAAGAAATTCTTACGAACACGATGCACGGTGGTTCTGTGCAAATAAACACATTGCTGAAGGGTGCTATGCTCATCAGTTTGATTTGAACTAGAGGGTTAAATTTTCCATACTTGCCTCATCGTTTACATTCAACAAATAATTATCCTGTGAGAGAGCTTTTCTCTGTTTACTGCATATTCATAGGCTCCATTGTACCTCAGTAAGCCTGAGATTTTATCACTGTGAATGGCAGTGATCCTATGGAAAGAAGAGTCAGGGAAGATGGATTATGGGATAACGGTACTGAAAGTTCTTTTCACACAAGCATGGTATATCTCTAATCGCTGTAGATTTGTGAGCACTGCAAATAAATATTTTCCTCTTATTTTGCCTACCTAGATTTTGCCTGTTTTAATATGGTAATTTATTAATTTTCTCCATTAAAAAAATGAAATGGACCAGCTTGTGGAAAGCAATGAATCCAAGAAGAGGCAATACCATAACATTGATCTTCAGAGTTCCTTGACTCAAGAGGTACTTATATTCTCAACTGATTTAGTTCCTCTATAAGAGATAGCTACTGATAAGCTCATAAATACATAGTTTATGATGGTTTAGAGTTAATTTTCTGTCTCTCTATTCTCTTCACTATAGACCGTTAAGTAATCAAAGTTTTGTTAACAGCCCGTGTTCTTGCCGCCAAATTTCTTCCTGCCACAAGTATATGCTTTGCAAGGCAAAATAATAGGGAATTAGGGATCTTTAAAAGATTTTTATACATCCTTTTCTATCTCTTGATGGAAACTCTGTTTGAAACTGTGAAAAACTAGCAGCTGATTAGTCCATTTATCCACAAACATCTGGCTTATTGTTCTTAAATACTGTGTTTTTCATGTCTTCGAAGATTTTCATGCTTCAAAAACGATTGCATCAAACAATTTGTGGTACGAAGTGCATTAGAGAAAGCATGTTACCTGCCTTCCTCACAAGATGCTGCGCTAGAAAACTCGATGCCAATGGTATACCCTTGAACACCTAAATGGATGCTCTCAATGGCTTATTGACTTTGCTGGATTTTTCTTTTGATTGTGTGTATTTTGTTTCTCAATTTTAGGCGACCAAGGAACTAATTAAGGAAATTGGCGTATTAGAATTAGAAGTAGTGTACTTGGAACAATATCTTCTCTCGCTGTATCGGAAAAGATTTGATCATCAAATATTGTCTCTATCAGCCAAGGAAAGAAGATTGGAAACAGATTCAGACACCAAAAAAGGAAGTTCATCAGTAAGTGGGACAGTTACTGTCTCTGAGAAAGAGATTTCAGTTCGTGAACATAATCTCCTGTCGCCCAGAAATTCAGTTGGCTTTCCCTTAAGGAATGCAAGAAAGAGTTAGAACCAGAAGCTGTTCTGGACTCAAGTATTCATCGAAGTCACTCCACCCTATCCCAGCAATCAGTTTGCTTCATCGAAACTTCTCAGGCCAAAGCTTTGGACACTTTCCATTCTCTACCGTTGTCTATGCTAGAGGTAAGTTCGAACAACTGACGGGAGTAATTCTTACTTCCTCATATGTCATATTGAGTTATTGGTCCCTCAAACATACCATTGCCACGATTTTGCTCCTTAAAGGTTAATCACGATCATATTAGCGTGGATGTCTTCAAGAGCACATCAAGTAAATATTGGTATTGTATCAGTTAATTGTACTGACATTAACAAAGTTGCCTAAATAGCCCAAAATTTGCCCAATTGGAATGTTTGCAGTTGACTCGATGACTTGTCTTTTATATTTTCCGAATGAAATTGCATTTACTCCATGTCATCATCATGAAGCCCAGCATTCAAGTTTAAATTTTGTCAACATATTTAATTTTCAGACTAGATAAGTAGTTATATGACACTTGTTTCTTAAACTATTAAGATTTATATGAAATCCATGGTGGTGGTATCTTTCCGCTACCACTAATCTACCTTACTTCTTGAATTTAGTGTTTTCTAATTTGGTGTTCTATGGAAATTATATTTTATCAGCAAGCTCAGAGTAATAACTGCAGTTCAATCTCCCTGGCTGAGCATCTGGGAAATTGCTTTTCTGATATAGTTCCAGAGACCCCAAACTGGCTTTCTGAGGAGATGATTAAGAGCATATCAGCTATATATTGTGAACTTGCAGACCCTCCTTTTGTTGGTCATGATAATGCTTCGTCCTTTATTCCATTTTCATCATCAGCATATGAGTTTTCTTCACAAGGCGAGGGAAATAAGCAGGCCTCACGGTGGAAGAAACATCGACCCTTCAATTTAAACTTTAACAACCCTTTCCACATCAAAGGATCAAAAGAATTTGGCGGACCTTATTGCTCAATGGTAAAGATTCACAAGTTAAGCAGAGATAGTGAAAAATTAAAAGAAGTTGAGTACATGCTGCGGAGATTTAGGTGAGCCATCTTTGCAATTTAAGTTCCGTAAGTCTTCATCCTAAGAGATTCATTCGCTGAACAAGGCAACTACATATTAGATTTAGTATGAAATTTGAAAACATCAACAATGCCATAAAGTATTAAGATGTATGTAGGATTGAGGATTGATCACGAGCCATTGTTGATAAGAGGATTAGGATCTAATTTTGATGTTCTTTACCCACTCTCAAGAGACTAAGATATGCTTAGCTTAGAGTTATAAATCTTTCAAGGATTTTGTCAAGGTAAGGGTTTAAGCTGGAGAACCGAATGCAGCATTAAGTAACGCGGCTTTACTTTTCTCCTTTAAAATAAACAGTTGCCTTTCAATATTAGCATATCATTCGCACCTTTACAACTATGTCAATATGCTAAGAAAATTTCCCTTTATGTCTTGCTTTCTTGCAGGTCACTTGTTTCTCGGTTGGAAGATGTTAATCCTAGAAACTTGGAGCATGAAGAAAAGCTAGCTTTTTGGATCAATGTGCACAACACCCTAGTGATGCATGTAAACTTTTCGAACTTTCAACGTTATTTGATTTATAGTTTTTTTCCAAGTCTTGAAGACAAACCTACCATATTGTTGTCTCTCATCTACAGGCTTTATTAGTTTATGGAATTTCAGCCAATAATGCCAAAAGAATTTCTACAGTACTCAAGGTGAGTTGGTCCCTAATATTGAACTGACAAAATCCATTGGTATGATCTGAAGTCCTTCTGAATTAAGCTGGTTGATAATGGTCTTCAGGCTGCATATAACATTGGGGGTCATAATGTAAGCGTAGAACTCATACAGAACTCGATTCTGGGATGCAGATTGCCTCGTCCGGGACAAGTAACTCTGAAAACCTGAAACTTCCACATAAACTTTTTCTCATTACTATTTTACATTACAAGCAAAGTAGCAGATGGAGTCTGAACCCTTTAGATTTATTTATTCTGAAGTTCTTGCAGAGTTCAAAAAGAGAAGAAAGGAGGGGAAATTTTCTAATATATGCTTTTATTCTTTATGTCAACTTTTTCTCAAAACTCTGCACTTCAAAGAAGTTCAAAGGCTTCTTACGAACATTAAATGACACTAATGCCCCATTCTTTTCTCCCAGTGGCTGCAGATTTTGTTTCCTACAAAAACAAAACTTAAGGTTAGAGATGCAAGAAAAGCATATGCAATACACCGACCAGAACCTTTGTTGCTATTTGCCCTCAGTTCAGGAAGCCGTTCTGATCCTGCGGTATGCTTTTGCCTACTTATATTTGTTCTGTCTCTTGGTGTAAACTCAAGGAGACAGAAGTAATCTTTCTGCAGCTCTTGATCACTTGAATGGCGCATTTTCATAGTCTGAATATAAGCTAAGTTATTCTTGCTTGAGAAGTAGCGTCCTTCTTAACCTCTGCTGGTTGCAACATTCTCAGGTGCGTTTGTATACATCCAAGAGAGTCTCGGAGGAGCTTGAATCTGCGAAAGACGAGTACATTCAATCTACCATCTCTGTGACCAAGGAACAGAAAATACTTATTCCAAAGATAGTTGATTTCTTTGCAAAAAGCTCACGTCTTGGGGCAGTTGGTTTGATGGAGGTGGTCAAGAATAACCTTCCTAATTCTCAAAGGAAAATCAATCAAGAGTTTCAATCAAAAGCAAGCTGGAAAGGCATTGAGTTGGTCCCTCATGACTTCAGTTTCAATTACTTGATTTCGAAGGAGTTAGCTTGGTAATCACATGCCTCAGTAGATATTAGCATCATAGCTTGGAATGACAGAAGAATCTTAATTCAGGATAATCATGAGAAGGAAAAAAATCACAAGCTCCTTCTTGGACGAGGCAGAAGACTTGATGTCGAAATGAACCAAGATTGGAATGATATTTAACACTTGAGCCTCCTAGCATGACTGAAGTGAAATTGTTCAACCTGGAAGTGGCAGCCCAGAAGGCAAGCTTCTATGTTGATATGTTTGGCTGGAGATAAGAGAAAAGGGAAAGGGAAAGCTTAATTCAAGCATAGCTCTTATTGAGTTAGGATGATGAAGAATTTTCCCTATCCTTTAAAAATCTCCTAAAATCCTCCCTATTTCTTCCAATCTGAAAATTTTTGGAAGAGAGAATCTTCCTATTTCCTAAGCAAGAATTAGGAAAATAATTATCCCTTGCTTTCCTGTCCTTCTCCTCCCTTCCCCTTCAACCCAAAACATATCCTAAATGTTTTGTGTTCATATGAACAATGAAGCTTGTAAATCATTAGTCTTGCTTGATTGGCATGGTTATGATTTATCAAGCAATGGTTATGATTCAATTGTCATTCCTAGTCTATTTAAGAACCTTATTGACAAGTTTGCGCTGATGCTTAGTGCTGTAGAGACCAGAGAATTGAGTAGTCAATTGAAGTGATGTTTATACTAGAGGCCACGCCCTCCAACGGTGATCAGTTCATTATTGTATATCATAGTGAAGGTTCCCTCTAGGTAAATTTTGCGAGTCTCTGTAATTACTTTGTCAGGTGAATTTTTAATATTGTGACAGGAAGTTAGCATCTTTTTCATGGAATCATTTATTAAAAAGAAAAAAGGACAAACTTCAACACATAGCATTCTGATATTTGAAAATCAGGAGTGCAATATGTGTGTCTGTATTGTGTGTGTATACATTTATATAGTTTTCTTCAATCTATTTCACCCTCAATATTATTTATTCTCTGTTTCAAACAATATGTGAGAGGCTAAAGTGATATATTTAGACAATGACGCCCCTAAAATCAAAGATGAATATCTTATCTCATGCAATGCAAGAGAAGAAACAGCGGCTAAATAAAAGAGCTAGTTGATTAATTGGAAAAAATTGAGAAAATTTGTTAATTTAGTTATTTATAATAAATATGTATTATGTTTTCTGAAATATCATTACTAATCATATGTATTAGTTAAAACTATCTTCTGACAGAACATTTAACATGTGCAATTACTATAAAGAATGCTTTGAAAGAAATGGGTAAATATAAGAAACAAAATGAATGAAGATCTTATATCTAGAACCAAATTGAATGTCAAATTAACTCTTATATATCTTGGACAGAAAGGAGTATATTTATGCAGCGGCAATAAACTGATATTTGATAAATAAAATTGATAAATCCACAAGCTCAAACAGATTTGAATTCTGGACATTTAATTAGTAAATGCATCTTGTATATGTAGATATGGATAGGAGAAGAGACAAAACAAATTTATGCATATTTTTATCCTCTCCTATTATTCTCTCTCTTAAATATAGAGTATATTTATAATGCTTACGGGCCACAAATCTGTACTCCCGCTGGATTAATATATTCTTTTTGTGATAAAAGTTAGAAAGAAAAGACCCATCGTCCGTGGGTTCAGCTGGCGAAGGGGTAAGACATATGACCAAGTTGGCATGTGTTCGATCCTTGGGGAGTACCACTTTGTTGTGGTTCCAGTCACGGCGCTTGGGGAGGCATCCTAGCTCTTAGGTGCCTAGATAAACGCCTAAGGGTAATTGACGGCTCGCCCTGCCCAACATTGGTATGACCTAGGAGGAAGGGAGATTTCGCCCTGCCCTTGGATCGTGGATGAGCCCAACCCCTTTCCAAAAATTTTTTTACCAAAAAAAAAAAAGTTAGAAAGAAAAGGGGGAAAAGGATGAAATTGATGGCCCTTTTTTCTTTTTTTTTTTTGGCCCTTTTCATGGTGTGGAAAAAAACAAAGAACGGAGATTGTGTTTTTTCTTCGTTGAAAGCGATGACAAAGAAAGCGAAGCAAAGAGACAAAGAATCCGCAGCTCATAATTTCTTTTCTATCTGCTGGGGGATCACTAGAATCACTAGAATTCGCTCAATACAGTGAGGAGAGATGTCTTTTGGCGGTTAACTGGGAATTAAGATGAAACAGTGAGTGATTTTTAGGTCAAATTTCACGAACCCTAAATGGAAGACGAGGGAATAGGGTTAGTGTTGGCCAGAGCTACAGAACTTAGATTGAAGATCAGCAATTGCATCCACAGAGCCTCGCCTGCTGCGTACTCGCCTACCAATGGCCCCTTAACGACTGAACCTCCTGATGGGAACGAAGTAAATGACCCCGAAGATGATGATAATGATGAAGAAGCAGAAAGGCTGTTAAACATTTGCGATGCGCTGGAATCCTTGGAGAACCAGTTATCTTCCTTGCAGGTTTTCCCCAAAGCCCCTTTCTTTTTTAGGGTTTTTCATTGTGAGATATTTTTCTTTTTAATCGTATGACATTGCATGATCTAATTTCCTGTGCATTTTGTTTCTTTTCTCGGTTGGATAAACTGAAATAATTCTTTCCATCTCTCTAGAGGCACGGGTGAAAAAAAGTTCATCTAGAAGAAAAGCTCGGAACATTTGTCTTGGGATCTGTCTTATTGTTAGGATTATAGCCTGTGATGTTCCCTGGATAAGGGCCAGAGATAGTGGGATATATGTCCCTCTTGAACTCTAGTGAAGCTTTTCCTTTGCTTAAAAAGCCCTTGAAGCAATCTGCTACCCTTGAAAGCTAAATTTCTGAAGTACTCTTCCTTGGGGACCAAACTTCTTATATGTACCTTGGTAACCCCATTCAAGATAAACTACCCATTCTGCTTAAATACTTTGTATACTTCCATGGTTCTAGAATATTAAGTACCACCGGCATTCATATTTTGACAAAGATAAGCTATTTTCGCCTGTAGTTAGGCTCTAACTTAAAAGAACAAATTAAATTAAAGTGCTTCACAACATGCAAATCACAGTATTGCCGATTACTCAATGTTACAAGAGTTCCAGAAATAAAATCCCATCTTATGCTCGTGGTACCATCAATTAGAGGGGAGGGGGGTGCTATGCATTGCCAAACGTTTGATTCCGTGGAAAAATCATCCTGTGTCATGGTATTGTCAATCTAAAAAGAGACCATCTCCACGATAATTCTGTTGACTTGATGACAGTGGAGCAGCTGACCCTGCAATTCCCAATTCGAGCCTTTCATGGTAATGAAAGTTACATCCAGAGTTTCACATAATTTCTCTCTGGATATACGTGTTAATATACTTGAAGAAACAATCGAACTAGTTGTACCAGGTAGAAAGAGTTTGTCCTTGTGGATAATGCACATCATAGCTATACCAAATTGGATGACAGAACCGCTTGTTTGCGGTCAAGATTATTTTGACAGCATAAGATAAATTTGGTGTGTCCGTTAACTTTTAATCACAGGACGATCCCGTAGCTTTTTTTTTTTTTTCCTGGCCAAAGTCCCGTAGCATGTTATGTTATTATAAATGAATGTTTCATTCGTCGCCTGTCAAATGAAACTTATTGAAACTGACGATTGACGTGGCTCCACTCTTGCCCTTTATGCTCTTTGCCTTTACAAGGATTTATAACTGTTGTTTTGAATTAGTATAACTGGTGTTTTGCTAGAGATGCGGACTTTGTTCGTGTGACTGAATGAATGCTGATTTAGCTTTATCTTATTTCAGTCTCAGTTTATTTTATCGTTAGATGTATGACGTGAAAGATCATATTGAAATATCCTTATTATTCTCTTATACTTTGTTTTTAGGACTCTTAATTGATGACTTAGAACTCTTTACTGTTTTGGCAATACCCAGGTTCTGCAACACCAGCAGCAATACGAAAGAGAAGTTGCTCTTTCTGAGATTGAGCAAAGCCGCAAAACGTTAATTGATAAGCTCAAGGAGTACAAAGGTAAGGAGCTGGAAGTGATACGAGAAGCTTCTACCTTCGCTAGCGAAACGGTGGAGCACAACAATGATCTGCTTCTTCCTCCATATCCAAGCCGTCCTCCCTACACCATGATGCATAATTCTGTTTGCAACGGGTTAATTCCAATTGATCCGAAGGTCCAATCGAGGAAGAGTGTGAACGAGAAGGAGCAAAATCATGCCCAAGATGGCGTGAAAAATGCAAGAAAAGGATTGGGATTTTTTGTGACTTCTGCAGCCAAAACTGTGCTCACTGTTGTTGGCGTGGTATCCGTCATGAGCTTGTCTGGTTTTGGACCTAAGAAGTTAGGTACGAACCTCAACATTTTGGGCCTGCTTCATCGACCAGAAAGTGAGGATGAAAGATCAAAAACTAGATGCCCCCCAGGGAGAATCCCACTGGTAGAAGATGGGGAAGTTCGATGTGTTGTGAAAGAGAGAGTTGAAGTTCCATTTTCAGCAATTGCTGCGAAGCCAGATATAAACTACGGGTGTGGTTAGTTCTAGTGCTTAATGTTGTGCTTCACTTCTCTCCTTTTCTACCCTACTGTTCATATGCTTGTTCACTGGCATGTAGTTGTCATGATTTTTGGTAGTTTATATTTAGCCACGAGGTCTTGATTGTTTGAGAGAAGTGGGATCAATGATTGTATGGTCTTTTATGCCCATTATGGTAGCAGATCCCCCCCCCCCCCCTCTCAATTGGATTTCCAATGGCCTTTTCTCTGTTGTTGTCGTGCATTCCGTGCTGATAAGTAAGGGGGGAAATAGATTAAAACTATGGTAAGACTTGTGTGAGATCTAGTCAATGGCTAAATGCTTACTCATCTAATCCAGTATAAAATAATAAAGAGTTAATTAAGATGATATGAAGTTAAAAATTGGGAATTCACCCTAAATAACGACCTACCAAAAAATGATTTTTTTTTTGTTTATTGTTTATGACATGTTGGATGAGAATATGCAATGGATTAGAAATCGATTAACATTTAAAATAGAAAAGAATAAACAATTCTTTTTGTAAATATAAATTATTTTAATGTTTAACAACATTAAATTGATTTTTTTTGAAATTTTTGTAATTTTTTATCGGGTTCTTATTGTTTTCTCAATGCAGGAAATATTGGTCCTTATGTTCATAATATGTTAATTAGAACTGATGTAAATATTGATCAAAAGGCATCTAAGTTGTCAAAAAATACAAAACAATAGAGTTTATATAAAAAAAATAATTATTCTTATAATCATTTTCTTACATCTATATGCAATCTGTTACCTGATTGATTTTGATTTTATTTAGTCCATGTGATTCATTTTCTTAGAGACACACACACACACACACACAGAGAGAGAGAGAGAGAGAGAGAGAGAGAGAGGATATAAAAAACCAAGCACCCCGTGAGAAGGAAAAGATACACCGACGTTTCTTTCTGGCCAAATAAAAAAAACAAGAACTCAATTAAAAATAATGTATCATCTTTTTTTCTTAATATAAGAGCTATTTTAATATTCAATTTGTTCTTACATATAAGAAGTTATTTCACTTTATTTCTCATACTTATCTATTTCTTTCAAAATAGTCATTGTAATAGTTGTATATATCAAAAGTTTTCATCAAATAATAATTTTAACTAATACATATGATTAGTAGGAATATTTTATGGAAGATAATATTTATTTTTATAAATAACTAACTTAACAAATTTTTTTAATATATTTAAATTAGTTAACTAATTCTTATATTAGAACCAGAGAAAGTATATTACAAGCACTTGTATTTTTTTTGGGGTCAACATACTTCCATAAATATTTAATTCAAGTAGGGTTAGATATTGGCTAAAATAATATTCATCCAATCCTTAATATAAGACCTATTTAACTAGTTTGATTAGATTAAGGAAGTTGGGTAAGTTAATTAATTATAAGAAATATGATATGTTTTTTTTCTAAAATAAATTGACCGAAACATCAATTTGTGAGTTCCTGGCTGACGCAACCATGAGTCAACGATCAAATCCACCGTTTTGTGTCGCCGCCAGCAGCCCCCGGTTTGATAAATATAAAAATAACTCTTATATTTAGAATTAAAATTAACTTAATAATTAAGTCTTATACTGAGAATAATGGAGTATCAAACGGGGGAAGGGTGGAAGAATTGGATTACAGAGACAAAATGATAAACAGAGCTATCAAATAAATTGACCGAAACATCAATTTGTGAGTTCCTGGCTGACGCAACCATGAGTCAACGATCAAATCCACCGTTTTGTGTCGCCGCCAGCAGCCCCCGGTTTAGGACCCACCTTTTCTACATAAACAAATATCTATCATCTATGTTACGATATTTTTCAAAGAAATTTGGTAAAATTTTCCACTTACGGGTCACCGCTTCCCTTCTCTAATGCAACATGTTCCAAGGGAGATATTGGAAGGTTCTACTAGTCTATTAACGGGAGCTAATCAAAATCAAATCTTTTTACGCTTTCTGAGAATGGCTCCCCGTTGGCCTCAAGGGCCATTTTCATCGTCCTTATAAATCTCACAGCAACCCCCACCCCCATAAATCAAACCGTAATTTCTTAACATCTTCGAAATCCTGCGATTACTCGACAACATGGCCGAAACCGACGGATCAATATGTTTCACCCAAGAGCAAGAAGCGCTCGTTGTGAAGTCATGGCAAGTAATGAAGAAGAATTCTGCAGAGCTGGGTCTCAAGTTTTCTTGAAGTACGAATCTTCTTCTACTGATATTCACTTCATCTTTCGCTGACTTCTAAATCACTATTTATGCTTCTTCTTCTTTTCTGTTTAAATTTAGGATATTTGAGATTGCCCCATCTGCTCAGAACTTGTTCTCCTTCTTGAGAGATTCAAAAGTCCCTTGGAGCAAAACCAAAGCTCAAGCCTCATGCCGTGAATGTCTTTGTCATGGTGAGCTTACTCTGTTTCTGACCTCCGTCAACTTTACTCTTTGTATGTCCCTGATGAATATATATATATATATGTATGTATGTATGTAGTATATGTATATTTATCTCTCTGAATTTTTTATTGCAGACGTGTGAATCCGCAGTTCAGCTGCGGAAGGCTGGTAAAGTCACAGTGAGAGATTCAACCTTGAAAAAAATAGGTGCTGTCCATTTCAAAACTGGCGTGGTGAATGAGCATTTTGAGGTATTTACTTAACAGTTTGTTTATTAGAAAAGTTTACATAGTTAAGGTCTTAGAGATGAAGTTCTTCAGATGATTGCTATTAAGTTCTTCAAAGATTCTAAAGAAATTTATGCCAATGACATGTAAACTTAAATCATTCATAGAACATCTGAACGTATAAAAATTCAGTCTCTGATGATGAACTTATCGAGGCGTCAATGTGTATGTTCTGATTGGTGAGTTATTTTCTGCAAGATTGATGTGTGACCTAATGTTTTTCGCTGTGTAAGGTTACGAAGTTTGCACTTATGGAAGTCATAAAAGAAGCAGTGCCAGAAATGTGGTCACCAGACATGAAGAATGCATGGGGAGTAGCTTATGATCAGCTAGTTGCTGCCATTAAAGCTGAAATGAAACCTTAATTCCTCTTAGAGACTGTCTCTAAATAAGTTTGATCAGTCCAGTGTTCTGGATATATGTCAGCGAGCTTGTCTCTGTAACGTTCTGTTGAATAAGCATCTATTATATATATTGGCATTGGTGTTACTTTTGTACCAGGTTGGAAAGATGTTACCTTTTAATAATATTTGAAGAATGAAGATAATAAAATAATTTCTGTTCATGATGGCTTTTGTTTATATCTACTGTTCTATTGATTATTCTTTCAATCTTTTTTAAAAATGGACGTTAACTTCTGACAAAGTCACTTTTAAAAATTAATTCATGATCTGAAATTCACCAAACTTTCCAAAAATACCTTAATTATATGCAATAAATAATAAATCGATTTGATTCATTTCTCTCTATCATAGATAATCAACGTAACTAACGGGATTGGATTTAGCTGCAGGACAGTCAAACAATATGTTATAAAATAATAATAGACGAAAACATCAATTTGCGAGCTCATGGCTTACGCATTCAAAGAACCAGTGACTTATGTGAGATGACCAAACGGTCCAATCTGGTAGCCGCACCTGGTTTCATCCGCCTCTTCAACGATATATAAAGAGAGAGATACACACACTATTTAATATGATACTCCAAAAGGCCATAAAAGAAACTCTATGCAATTAGGATTTAATTATCTTCTCACCACGTGTCTTCCTTCCCGCCACTGCGCACCGTTAGCAAATGGAAGAGAACATGTAGTCCCCCCCCCCCAAAAATAAAAGCAGTATATTATAATAATAATAGTATAGTAGTAGTAGTAGGAATAATAGTAATAGTAATAATATGTTTAAAGGACAAAAGGTCCAGTGAAGGTTTAAGGTGAAAATTTAGGACCAGCAAATATACAATCTTGTCAAAGGAGCGAAAATTGGAAACAAAAGAGGCACATCAGTAGCAAATATATCCCTGTTATGTTTGCAAATATAAGCTCGCAAAAAGAGAATGTCCTGATAAGATCGGGTCTACATTCATATCACCCATAAAGAATATTAGAAGAGGGTCAAATACACAACAACCTCTCTTAAGTCTATCCCATATCCTCAGTAAACATGCTCTTGATATGAAAACCAAAACAATCAAAGGTTGGCTCAGGTTTTGGAAAATTTCTTGTCTCTTTGTGTGAACTCTTCATCTACGAACACAATCACAACCATTGGATGCATGTATCATATGCAGGCAAGAATTGCTCGTTCATGAAGGGGCAAAAAGTAGCCTGCTTCATGTAATTGATCTTATGGTCTTCTCTACGGTAAAAGGTTGACTAACAAGATAAACTGTGGTAGCTTTTGTAATTGCAGTCCTAAGTTTTGAGATTCTCCTCTTTCTTGGGCCTCTCATGGATTCTTCCGTTTCATCTTGCTTTTCAAATGATTGGGTCTTTTACCAAAGTGGGTCATTTTAACATGCTGTTTATCTTTATCACTATTATCAGGCATTTCTCCCTGCAAGAGCTTCTTTAGCCTTGGATCTTCCAAACATCCATTTAATATCATCTCCTTGTGAAATTCCCGGGCCTTAACTAGCCATCCACAAGTCACAAGACCTTCTACCATTCTTCTATAATGCATACAACTGGGCAGTACTTCAAAAGTTTTCATTTCCTGCCAAATTTTCAATGCATTTAGAGGTTGCTCCAACTTGAAGAATTTTTCAAGAAGTATAAGAAAGGAGTCGCCATTAGGTCCTAAACTAGCACTTTTCATCCTACTGAGAAATTCCAATGTCCCTTGATAATCTGTTCCCTCAAGAAAAGCATGGAAGGTTTCAATTGTTGGTCTAAGATTCTCCTCTACCATTGTATTTAATAAGATTCTTGCATGCGCTAGTTTTCTTTCCTTGCAAAGAGGCAGTATCATTGAGTTAAAGGTGGCAGAATCTGGCTGCAAGCCACCTTTTTTCATATCATCTATCATCTTCAGAGCTTCCTTCAAGCAATTTTCGTGAGTCAAAACATAAACTAAAGAATTGTACACCTCCATCCCAGGGCTCCAACCCCTTTTCTTCATCCCATCATAAAGTCTAAGCGAGTCAAAAAGATTTCCCGTCCTTGAAAAGCAAGAAATCATATGGCTATATGAGGTAGCATCGGGTGTTATACAATAGTTTGACATTTCTCTCCAAACTCTCTTCGCTTCAACTAGATCTACTGATATGTTGCACCACCCATTCAGAATAATGTTGAAACTCTCAGTCTCAAGTGGGAAGAGCTTCTTATTCAGAAGCATAACTCTTCAGCCTCCTCAATGTGCCCATGCTTACAAAGTGCATGCAAAAAAGCATGGAATGCTTCCTGATCAGGGGTCATTCTGAACTTTTCCATGAAGTTGAATGTTTGGATAGCCTTGGCCGAGTCATTTCCAAGTGCATATCTAATTGAAGCAAAATGCCAAAAGAGGACAAAAGAACGAAAGTTATTGACGGAATTGAGATGCCACTATCAAGTGTTCATGTATTTACCAACACAGTACCACTAAGAACATATAAAAGTAGACAGACCGATAAGATTGATTAATCGAATGTAAGCACACTGACTAATAAAAATCTAATATTCAAATAATAACGAAGATCACTACAAAAGAGTATCCTGCGTTACTAGTTAACTCAAATGATTCCAACAGCAAAGATAAGGGATAACTTCTCAACCCTAAATATGATTTGCTAATTAGTGTAATGCCCATCTAAAATGTAAGTAAACAAGCAAAATAAGAGTCAGCCAAAGGAGGTCAAACTGAAATCAATCAGATACTTCGTGCAGTGAGGTACTTCTTAATATAATAATACAAGTTTCACTCCACATTTTTTGAAAAGTTTACGTGAGATATATTATTAAAAGGAAAAGGAACTACTGGGACTATAAATTTTTTCACAGAGCCAGAATATTTGAAGTTATGATCCTGTTCTCACTGAGTTCAGCGCAGATAATCTCTAAGAAAGCTGGTAATTTCATAAAATTTTATTTGAAAAATTGAAGATGTAATGTTTGGCATAGGCGCAAGAGAAAATTCATTACTGACTCTCCATGTTAACCATGTTACAACAAAACTTTCTACGAGCCAGAAAGAGTTTCAAGGGCAAAGGTCATTTCACCTCTCAATCATAATAAGCATAGCCTGCCGTATACACAGAGAAGACCGATGCATATCTTGAATCAAACCCCACGCAGTGGAAAACTTTTGATGATGGCCCAAAACCCATATCATCAATTGATAAACATTTTCATCGTAGCAATTCCACTTCTTGCCCCATTCAAATGCCAAAAAAGCAGCTTTACACTCTTCCCTCAGTTCCCAAATAGTCGAACCAATTAAATCTCTATTAGCTTTGATACCTGATGCATCGAGAAAGGACATAGCCTCTGCTTCTGACGAATTATAAGCAACCTTTCTGAGCAATTCAAGGAACTGCTGTAGAACTGGGTTACGTGGGTCCCCATGGAAATGGAACTTATCGGCAATGAAGTCGATGGGGTCTTTAAGAGCTTGAGAGACATAGGAGAATGAAGGTTTAAGGGAGTGAGCCGGTAGCGAAACCGTTTGAGAAAAAGCCTGAGAGAGATGGTGAGGTGTAGCTGTGAGATTTGATGAGACAAGTGTGCGAGGAGGAAGTGGAAAGTGCTTTAGAGAAAACCTTCTCGTAAAGGTCGCCCAGACAGCCATAGGTTCAGTTGAAACCTTTGAACCGAGACGCAACTAGAGAGCTCATAAAGTCTTTGGTCACCCGTTTGGTTGATGTCAAAAAACACCGTAAATACCGGAATGGAAACGTGATTACCCTGAAAAGTGCGTTTGGTTGCTTGCTTGGACTTGAATTCCATTCGGACGGGGAAGAAGATTCTGCCAACTGAGGGAATGAACAATCCACTTAAAAAACAATGGAATCCGAGGCATTCCAGGAAAGGCTTTAGCTAATCTCCAGACTTGCCCTGCCTATGAAGATGAAGCAAAGCAAGCCTAAACAAGTGGGATATCAATTATCATGAGAAAAGCAAGTTGTCTTAGCAAAGCCCACCAAAATTTAAGTTTTATTTTCGCAGCCCCAGCAATGGGGACGAAATCTCTGTTAAGAACACAAAACTAAGTTCCCTAGCGAGGGCGCGTTGGAAGAGATATCAACGGGGGGGGGGGGGGTGGAAGCTCCCGGTGAGCAGAAAATTTATCTATGTACCCAGTCGCGGACGGAGTCACGGAGGCCTTGTCGGACATAAGTAGAACGGAACGAAGAAACAGAAGGAGGGCAGCCCCTAGATAAACCAATGGTCGGGATTAACCCCAGATTAACGGTTGAGATGGCTCTCTTCTTAATGACAAGACGCCGTTTTGTTGATCACGCTAAACTGTAGGGTATTTAATATAAACTTTAACTCTTTAAATTTATTCTCATTTTAATTTCAGTCTTTTAAGTTAAGAAAAGTTAGTCAATTGGTCCTTCAACTTCTAATTTAATTGTAATCCAGTTTTTCAAATTTAACTCATCATAACTCGGTTCCTAAAGTTTGTTATGTTTAACAATGGGAAAATTGCAAATAAAGACCCCTCAATATATAAAATAGCAATCAGGGACCCTGAATTTGAGAAATTGCTCACAAGGACCCGGTCCCAATTTGCAATTATGAAATGATGGTAGAATGTCCAAAATGCCCTCTGTTTTTCTCTCTTTCTTCCTCTCCAGATCATCTTCTTCCCGACCTTGCTCCTCATTTTCCTCTCTCTCTTCGTTCTCTCTTTCCTCTCCAAGTTTCCTTCCCTCTCCTCACTCTTTTCCCAGAGTATATGGAACTCCCAATGTCTTTCGGTGGTCCTCTCCTCATTGTCATCCCCGTCACCTTCTTTTTATCTTGCTTACCTGCTCTTTCGTCAACAATGAAGCCTCTTCCATCATTCTCTCTGTTGCTGTGGAAGGAGAGGAGAGTCGGGAGTTTGAGGGAGAGTGACAGTCATTTGTAATGCTTGTAATGTTTGTTTGCAATGTGTGTGGTGATTGCTTGGTGCTGAGACAATGCCCAATAAATCTGGATTTTTATTCTTCATTTCTATTTTGATTTTCAGCTTGTGTTCGTAATTGAAAATAACGAGTTTGATAAGTTGTTGAAAATAACAAATTGACAAGTTCTGATACCCAGTTCACGACAAGTTCAGTAATGCGAATAACAAGTTTAGCAAGGCAAATAACAACTTCTGATAAGCAATTCATAGAAATTCGAGTTTCTCTGTTAAAATGACAGCATTTTCAGATTTCTTTAGCAGATGACAAGTTCTGATACACAATTCATGACAAGTTCAGTAAGGCGAATGACAAGTTTAGTAAGGCGAATGACAACTTCTGATAAGCAATTCATAGAAATTTGAGTTTCTGTGTTAAAATGACAGGTTCCCAGTAGGTTTTCATACTTTTTCCTGTTAAAATGACTGGATTTCCACATTGATTTATCAAATGACAGGTTTATAATAGAAAATGACAAGTTTTCATAAGATCTTTATGCTTTTTTTTTGGAATTACAATTTGCACATTTCTGACAGCAACAACTTCTGATAAATACGAAATGACAAGTTCAGAATGAAAAATGACAAGTTAAGTATAGCAAATGACAAGTTCCCACAATGTTTTCATACATTTTAATACTTTTTCTGCTAAAATTACAATTTGCACATGTCTGACAGCACCCACTTCTGATAATTGCAAACAAGCTCTAAATTGTGAAAATCAAGTATGATGATTGTATTTCGGTGGAAAAATAGATCAAGGTGTGGCATGTGAGGAACAAACGAGCCCTAAATACAATGCTAAACGAATAAAGTTCTCGCTTTATATGTAGAATTTGATGGTTTCTTGTTCATATGATATGTCAATTTATATTTGGGATTTCATGGTTGAGGATGCACTTGTGAGTGGATATGATCATCGTAGTGCATTTGCCACTGGTGTTGATATGAGCATGCTTCGTGAGGGGCTTATGAGAGTTCTGGTGCTATAGTTTTATACATTAGGAGGAAATGAGAGGTGAAGTTGATGATGAAAGATGTTAATCAGAAGTGGTTGCTGTCAGAAATCTGAACATTGTTATTTCAGTAGAGAAATTTACATTTGTATGAAAACGTGATGGGAACTTGTCATTTTACATACTTAATTTGTCATGCGCTATTGTGGACTTGTCATTTATTGTTTATTAAAAGTGATTGCTATCAGCAATGTGCAAATTGTAATCCCACCAGAAAAAGTATGAAAATGTATGAAAACATTATGGGAATTTGTCACTTGCCATACTTAACTTGTCATTTTCCATTATGAACTTGTCATTTCGTGTTTATCAGAAGTGGGTGCTGTCAGACATGTGCAAATTGTAATTTTAGCAGAAAAAGTATGAAAATGTATGAAAACATTGTGGGAACTTGTCATTTGCTATACTTAACTTGTCATTTTTCATTCTGAACTTGTCATTTCGTATTTATCAGAAGTTGTTGCTGTCAGAAATGTGCAAATTGTAATTCCAGCAAAAAAAAGCATAAAGATCTTATGAAAACTTGTCATTTTCTATTATAAACCTGTCATTTGATAAATCAATGTGGAAATCCAGTCATTTTAACAGGAAAAAGTATGAAAACCTACTGGGAACCTGTCATTTTAACACAGAAACTCAAATTTCTATGAATTGCTTATCAGAAGTTGTCATTCGCCTTACTAAACTTGTCATTCGCCTTACTGAACTTGTCATGAATTGTGTATCAGAACTTGTCATCTGCTAAAGAAATATGAAAATGCTGTCATTTTAACAGAGAAACTCGAATTTCTATGAATTGCTTATCAGAAGTTGTTATTTGCCTTGCTAAACTTGTTATTCGCATTACTGAACTTGTCGTGAACTGGGTATCAGAACTTGTCAATTTGTTATTTTCAACAACTTATCAAACTCGTTATTTTCAATTACGAACACAAGCTGAGAATCAAAATAGAAATGAAGAATAAAAATCCAGATTTATTGGGCATTGTCTCAGCACCAAGCAATTACCACACACATTGCAAACAAACATTACAAGCATTATAAATGACTGTCACTCTCCCTCAAACTCCCGACTCTCCTCTCCTTCCACAGCAACAGAGAGAATGATGGAAGAGGCTTCATTGTTGACGAAAGAGCAGGTAAGCAAGATAAAAAGAAAGTGACGGGGATGACAATGAGGAGAGGACCACCGAAAGACATTGGGAGTTCCATATACTCTGGGAAAAGAGTGAGGAGAGGGAAGGAAACTTGGAGAGGAAAGAGAGAACGAAGAGAGAGAGGAAAATGAGGAGCAAGGTCGGGAAGAAGATGATCTGGAGAGGAAGAAAGAGAGAAAAACAGAGGGCATTTTGGACATTCTACCATCATTTCATAATTGCAAATTGGGACCGGGTCCTTGTGAGCAATTTCTCAAATTCAGGGTCCCTGATTGCTATTTTATATATTGAGGGGTCTTTATTTGCAATTTTCCCTTTAACAATTGCACCCCTGCTGTTGGTTATCAAACTAAACGCTATTAGCAAAGTTAACAGAGTTAGTCCCCTCCTCTTCCTTCTTACCTTTTCGTTTTCTCTTCATTGACTCCTTCATGTTTGTTGAAAATCATTCTCAAAACTAGAATCCTTCCTTTAAAGTCTACAAGCCAAATATGGTTCCATGGTCGATCACTCTCCCTGTTGGTTCGCATCTTGCTATGTTTATAACTGATCATTCTATTGCCATACAAGCCTTCATTCAAAACTAACAAAAAGGGAAAATATGTACAGCCAATCTGTATTAACAGAAGAAAAAGTGAACAAATGGTGCGAGCTAGTAGTTGGATTTGAACTTTGAATTAATTAATTGATATATATTCTTTAATTTAATTTAATTTCTTATTGTTGCCTCTGCCTATGGGCTGACTTCGCGGCTTGGGAATAGAGATGATGTCACCAATGTCAACCGTAGTAATGAAGCTGGGGATAGAATTGGGACACCAATTGCAAGCTCCTTCTAGGTGACCCTCTTGGTGCTTCTGAAGGTGAAGGAGAAAGTTCAATGTCTCCAACCAGTGATGATCAAGAATCTAATTCTGAAGATGGTGCGAGACTTTCTTTGGCCAGGGTAATGTTACTGAAATCAGACCATATTCAAAACATATAGCAGGATGAGAACCAAGGGAAAGAGAGATTGATCAGGGGGCCATACTTGGCTTGAAGACTTCGAAAGATGGGTCCCAGTTTTGAAAATGATTTCCCCAAAAAAATGAAGGGGCTGATGAGAGGAAAACAGAAATGATTAGGAGGAAGAGGAGGGGACTAACTCTATTAACTTTGTTAACAATGTTCAGTTTGATAACCAACGACAAGGGTGTAATTGTTAAGCATAATAAATTTTAGGGGCTGAGTTGCGACGAGTTAAACTTGAAGAACTAAGTTACAATTAAGTTAAAAGTTAAAAGACCAATTAACTAATTTTCCCTTTAAGTTATAAATCATAAGTTTTGGTTTCTCTTTCATTTAAAATATTAGTCCTTATAATCTAATAAAAACTGAGATTATTTTGTTCCTAGAAGCACCAGAGCCCATAATTTGAAACTTGATAGACTAAAATCAAAATGAAAATAAATTTGAGGAATCAAAAATTATATTAATTTTTTTAATTATTTCATTATACTTAATGGGCTTCGAAAACCAAATAAAACCTGCTGGATCAACCAAACAAAACCGACTAAAATCAATTGAAATAAGATTAATTCGGTTTCTTTTCTAAACTCAGTAGGTTTGGTTTTGTAGACCGAACAAGGCCGGTTTGAATTTTTTTTAATTTATTTATTTATTCCTTATGTACTGTAACTGTTTTTTTTTTGTGATATATTATATTTATTTCTCTATTATTTCATTGATATTGTTGATATTTTGGTCTTGGTACCTAATAATAATTTTTTACATGTCATTTAGATATTAAAGTAATTAATCAACTTATTACTGAAAAAAAGTGATTAATCAACTCACTAACTCAGAATATATTTATTTAATCAACATTAACTCACTTTTAAAGTTTAAGTTTTGTAATAATATATTACTACCTCCTGCCCTAATTATAAGACTTTGTTTGTACTACAAATAAGGTCTTATAATTAGGACCACGAGTAATATTAAATTAAATTTTTTATTTAGAATTAAATTTTAAAAGTATAGGGGTAAAGCAAAGAACAGGGGATGGTGGTAGACTGGTAGCTAATGGCAGAAAGCAACGACTATTAAATGTAATCAAATTTTTTATATGATGAAGCATGTTGTCATATCAAAAAAAAAAGTAAGGTGAGGATAAAATAATGGGTCACGTGAGAGTACATTTTTTGTTTGAGAATTACAACAAAATAAAAAAAATTATCAGTAAATCTTAATAATAAGTGAGTAGTGAGTAGTTATTTAATATCTTGAAACTTGCTATTATAGATTATTATGTTGTTATTAAAAAATTTTAATAATTACGTTTTTAATTGAGACTCAGCAAATCTCTCTTATTTCTTGGCGTGCAATCAAATGACCAAATGGATCGTCCAATGAAAAAGACAGAAAAACCAAGCCGTGAGTTCATGGCTCGCGCAAGCGACAGTCAATGACTTGTGTGATGACCAAAGACAGACGGTCCCATCCTGGTGTCAGCTCCTTGTTTCCAAATCCACCTCTTCTACTATAAATCTATTATTTAAATTTTTAGGGAAATTATCAGAAAAACGCCCTAGAAATATTAAGATGACGAATCAGTAACTCCAATTCTAATAATTTCAAATTGGTCCACGTATATTCAATCTCATTGGCGGCCTAACACTGAAACTCTAGCACCAACAGTTGGGATTTTCGACGTGCTGAGATGGTAGCTGTTTCTTTGATCAAAATAAGTAAGGAGCAATGTAGTAAAAAGGCAACATTTTAATACATTGGACGTTATTGAAATTATAATTCCTGAATTGTGATTTAGATATTTTGAGGGTTATTTTATGTGATTTTCCTTTATTTTTACCGATCGCCACGTCTCTTCCCTACTGGAACGTTAGTGTCCAAAGCATCTGATGGACTGATATCCCGTTCCTGAGCGTTTGGTAAGTTCCAATTAATTGAGCGCCCACCATGAAGCATCACAGTCCAACATGAGGACAATGGCTCGCCATTCCCCTCAAGGGACGCTTTCTTCTTCCTTAAATCTCACCGCAACTGCCCCGCCTACCCCCACAGCCCACGATTTCTCAAGTTCGTCTGCTCCCATTGCGAAATCCTTCGATTGCTGAGAAGATGAGCCCCCCGGAGGGAATATGTTTCACCCAAGAGCAAGAAGATCTCGTGGTTAAGTCATGGGACGTAATGAAGAAGAATTCTGCAGAGCTGGCTCTTCAATTTTTCTTGAAGTAGGAATCTCCTTTACGGAATCTTCTTTTTTTTTATTTTAACTTTATCTTTTGCTGCCTTCTTAATCACGATTTATGCGTTTTTTGTTTAAACTTAGAATATTTGAGATTGCCCCGTCGGCTCAGAACTTGTTCTCCTTCTTGAGAGATTCTAAAGTTCCTTTGGAGCAAAACCCGAAGCTTAAGCCTCATGCTGTGAATGTCTTTGTCATGGTAAGCTTACTCCGTTTTTCTTTTTCAACCCTCCATTAACCTCATCGTTTTACTAAGTGAATGAAAGTACGACGATATTAAACCATTTATAGTTAACCCATCATTGCTTTAGCACCATTCATATTTTACACCTGGTAATTTTTTCCTGGATCTTTAATTGCAGACGTGTGAATCAGCAGTTCAACTGCGGAAGGCTGGTAAAGTCACAGTAAGAGAATCAAACTTGAAAAGATTAGGCGCTGTTCATTTCAAAAGCGGTGTGGTGGATGAGCATTTTGAGGTATTTGACTTGATCATTTGCTGATCAGAAAAGTTGACATCGTTAGTGTTGAAGATTTTTAAATGATTGCTATTTTGTCAAGTAATTTGAGGTGTTTGATTTGAGATTTTGCTGCATAAGTGAGACCTTCAACAGATAGTAGCAGATGTATCTTTGGGATCCCATTCTACTTTCAATTTCAAAGTGCATTACTGGTGAGACAGTTAAATATAAGGGAAAACCATTCTGGAATTAGTAAAGAAATTTATAGATAGATCTAATTTACAGAAAATTGATAACTTAACCATTTATAGACATAAACATATAAAACTCACTTCTAACATGCTTGCATCTCTATTGATAATGGAAGTAGACTATATTTACCTAAGAATATACTCAAGTGTCAAAATATATCTGACTAGTGAGTTCTTTTCTGCAAGATCGATGTGTAATCTAATTTTCCCTTTCATGAAGGTTGTAAGGTTTGCACTTCTGGAAACCATAAAGGAAGCAGTGCAAGAAATGTGGTCACCAGACATGAAGAATGCATGGGGAGTAGCTTATGATCAGCTAGCTGCCGCCATCAAAGCCGAAATGAAAGCTTCCTCTTAGACTATCTCTACAACTTCCGCAGTCCTTTCCTCTCGAGTTCATAAAGTTTGATAGGGTGTCAGTCCAGGGTTTCTGCTTTTATGTTAGTGAGCTGGTGCTTTGGTGATTGTGTTCAAAAAATTCTGTTGTATGAATATGCATTATATTGCTATCTTCACCAGGTTTGACAGCATATCAGTATATTAGCTTTGAACTACTGTTGAAGATAATAAAGATTTAATTTCTGTTTGTGATGGCTTTCTCTATATTTACTGTTCTATTGATAATACTTACAAATTTGAAGACAAGAATAGTTTGTTCCTAATCCCAATTCTAGGGCAAAATTTGGCTCTGAAAACAAATTGAGCGGACCCTTGTTGGGTGAAGTTTATATAGACAGATAAAATTGGTCCATCCATCTCCTTGAAGGACATTAAAACTCTGTTGTCCTACTCTTCCACTCTTCAACATGTTCCTTCTCAGAAACTTAATGAGTATCTTGGACCCAAGCTTGAAAGGCCTGGATGAGTAAGGAGATTGATGTTCAGTGCACACAAGTGGTAAAGAGATTTAAATTCTACGGTTAAAATTGGTGAGGTTAATACATGTGTCAGTCTAATATGTTCAAAACTTGAAAAGATGTCAAACCTCAGTATCAAAATTATTATATGCTAACAAAATTTACTTCTTTAAACGTAGAAGTTAGTTGAAGGGATTATTTGTTATCAATATAAGATTAATTTAATCTATCTCTAGATTTATTTTTTTTCCCTAAATTGTTCCTATTTTAATATAAAACTTGAGGCGGTGCAAAAAAGTAATCTGTATTTTGAAATAGAACGTGTCCTATTTTAATGGGTTGCTTGAATTGGAGTAACTTTCCATCCAAGTAAGCAATGTGCACTTGCGGTACCCAAAGGGTTTCCTCCTTGTCTTGTGAATTGAGAAGATGCACAACTACCCACACACTTATTGTGGGTTTGTCATCAAATGGGCATTGAGGTGGCCAAGGGAAACAGAGGAGAATGAAAAATCTCAAAGTGAAAACAAAAAACTATACTAACCAAACTGTTCCCATCCCATGATCCAGAAACCTCAAAAGAAATGTGTTATAACAGTGGTGAACCGATTCAGTTGTTATAATACACACACATTGATAGCTTTTATCTAAGAAAATGCAATGCGTAGAAAGATTTTGAGGGCCAATTCAGTGCCTGGGGTTTGGGACATTGATAATCATATTGTTATCCAAGGAACACTGGAATTATATTTAAGAAGACCTTAAATTTCATACCGTACCCAGACAAGTCCTATACACCATAATTCTGTAACTACAGAGTCCCAGGTTCAAACGACATTTACCAACAAAAGCGCCACACAGAAATGTAACTCGTCATATAAAGATAAATTTTGACCGTTACGTTATTTGTGTAAGTGTGTACACACACAGAGAGACACACCGGAACAGAGCCGTTGGATGGGTGTTAGTCCATCAAGCACGTGATATCAAGGACCCCACAATCCCACCAATGAGGACCGTTGGATCTCCCAACACTGCCGATACAACGAACTGAACGGCCATCCCCGCCATCTCACAACACTTCCTCACCTTCCCTTTGCTTTTGCTGCTGCTACTATGGCTGCTCTGAAGCGTGTTCTTCAAGCTAGGAACCTCATTCTCCAATCTGTAACTTCCTTTCTTGCTTTCCATATAAATCTCAGGCCAACTCTCCACCACCATCTCCCTCACACAAGCCACATGTAGATTGTAGCTCTTGCACTTTGATCTGTAGCTCCAGCTTCGTCCCTTCTTCCCACATCGGTGACACGCCGAGCTCACCTTCTGATACAGATACAGCTTCACTTCGCCATCGTCAAGAACCATTGGAAGCTTCGCGCAGCATGGATGGAGATCGAATCCACACGATGGGCAGTGATAGACGAACCCTGATATGCCCTTCTCGCACGCGTTGCAGAATCGAGGTATGTCGCCTGGTGGACGAGAGAGGAATTGAAACGAACATTTTGGGTAGAATGGATGGTAGATCGAAGGTGAAGGTAACGCACAGTGCATGTGGAGATCGTAGTCGCAAATGGAGCATTTGTAGCGCGAGCCTATCCCTACTTCCTTGCAGCCATCGCATTTGAATGGGAATTGTGAGTATTCGAAACTCAGCATGTGTTGAGGATGACCGAAATGGGATATCTCACTGTTCTTCATGGTCGTGTCTATGTATTTCTGAGGTTTCTTTGAGGAATACATTGCGAAGCTAATGGATGATATGAAGGGTTTGATCTGGATATTTTTTGCTCGATGGGTAGTTAGGGATGGTTTTGAAGGCTAGAAAGTTGTGATTTGAAGTTGGGAACATTGGCTTATAATTGAAGCAACTGGAAAGCGCTTGTTCCACCAGGAATGGAGGTGAATTCTAAATAGATTTCATGGGATAGGGAATCCCTGTGTTATCAAGAAGCAAGTAGGCAAAGCATAAGGTATATTAGGCCTTGTCCCACGAAGGAATATATACCAATTTTTACTTTTCATGGTCTTCTTAAGATTTGTTAACCGGCAACCTATTACACAAGTTTTTGATTTGCATTGCTATTAAGAAATGACTAGTGTGCAGATCATTTAAGGGATAGTTTCTTCATTTTAAAGAAGCAATTCAAAGTTAAAGTCGATGTGCAGTAATAACACGTAGGCAGTCTCTGTTCTTAATTAAACTTTTGAAAGGAAAAGGAAATAAGGGAATAAATCCCTTCTCTAAACAGTAGTTCTCTAAACTTTTGTCTTTAGGATAGAAATTCTTGTCTTCTTGATGATCACATCCATTTGCATCTTCATCAAGGATATGCCTATTACCGATAAGCATATGTTAGGAAATGATTCTTGCATGCCCTAAATATCTTCTAATATTTATAGCATCAAGTTATCAATTCTATAAAGAATGCGACCGAAGTTGCTTGATGGGGCTACCATTACTGTTCAAGTTCTGGTTGTCCTGATTTTTTGGTATCATTTTGTAAGGAATTATTTGTGAATCCATTGCTAATTGCTTGAATAACGTACCTTTAACTAAACCAAAAACTAACGGATCAGTCCAGATATGTACAAGCTGATTCAACCACCATCTGAGCATGACAGAAAGCAGAAAAGAAGAGGTTGCATAATGGTTACTAGGTTTAATACAAGGGGATGGATGATTCATGGTGGGCGAGGTCAGGTGAATGATTGAGGAGAATCAATGCCCTTGTGGCCTTGTGTCAGTGCTCAACAGTATCTCCTGTCTGAAGAACTGAAAGATCAGGAGAATCAAGCAACCCAAAGGAACCTATAATTAAGGTCCAGGCACTACTTTTTTTTTTCCAACTTCTTTTCTTTATTCTGTTCTTAACTTTTTTTTTTTTTTGACCGTTTCCCATTTTGTTTCTTTTGGTAGAGAAACAGAAACGTCAAGAATCTTCCTGTTTATACAAGTCATGTGTATGGATATTTCCTTCCCAGTCTTCTGCAGGAATTGTACTTGCAAGATCAAGAGACTGAAGTGAAAAGCTGTTCTCTGCTCTCTTTTTTTTTTCGAAACTGAATGAAATTATTTCTTCCCACTTCCTTTTAGCCTTCCAACTGCAGTTCAACATCAATTATTTCAGTTTTTCATGCACACAATTTGTTAGGGGTAGGGGTAATCAAGGAACTGATAGAAAAATTACTCGAACCATAATGTAATGTAGAAAGCCACATCAATTTTCACGGCATATAAAAACCAAGAATCGGATGGGCTAGATTTGTCAGAGTGATGAGCTCACATAAAAGATAGGCCGTCCGTGGTTTAAGCTATAGAATTTTCTGCGTCTCTTTTTCTTCTTTGTCATTCAGTTGGAAGTATGAAGAGTGGGGATTGGATAGGAAGGAACATTTTTTTTTTTTAATTTTGGTTATTCTTATAAAAGGAATTCCATCAAAGCTAAAAAGGCACAAACATGTAGTAACGGAGTGAAATAGGAATCTCGTTGGTGGTGTTTCATTCAGATTATTCTGGAACAGGAAAAAGAAAAGTAAAGAAGAGAGGAAAAAGAAGCAAAAATACCAATAAGTTTATCTTTTAACAGTGCTGAAAAATCATAAATCCACCATATTTGCTGTTCTGCTTTTATTATTATTGTACCAGATACGTCAACTTCAGCAATTGTTATTGAGAAATGATTTGAGAATAGTGCTGTAGCGGTGGCGGAAACTTCACACAATGATTGGACAGTTTCACAAACTAAGCAATCCTTCCATTCTAGTTCTAGGTTATCATGAAGCAATCATATGCTGCCTATGCTTCTGGAATGGTTTTGTGCCTACCAGTACCCTTTTGTAACCTCATTCTTTTGAATGTAGGGGGAAAAAAAAAAGGAAAAAAAATGTCAGTTTCCATTAAAAAAGAAAAAAGCTTTTGTGCCCTTTTTTCTGGCCCTTGATTGGTAATTCAATTTGATGTGTCCCTCTCCCTCTAAACTTCTATAACTCAATTTGATGTATCCGTCACCCTTTGATTAACTTTATCTTTTAGGCCCTAAATTTGTCCGATACCATCAAATGCAAGCATTAGGTTAAGAAATCTATTGAAAAATTTGTTTCTCATTTATTCTAATAGCAAATAGTTTATCTTTTGGGGATATTACATTAACTTCCCTAGGGGAACTGACAGCTTCTGTTTTATTTTTATTCTTTTTTTTTTTTGTTGCCAGCTGAAGAACTGACAACTTTCATCGTCCCTTCTTTAGTACAAATATTAGATAGTTATAGTTTTTATAATATGTTTTTCCTTGATAAATATATAATTTATAAATTCTTTTAAGATTCTAATTACGCAACATTAATTTACAGAGCATAATGGTTGTGCCAATGGTTTAAAACAATGACCCAAAGAAAAATAATAAAATGATGATATTTTACTTTTAGAGGTGATAGTGTCATACGAAGTTTTTTTCTATGTCCTCCTTTTGAAAGCATTTGTGTACAAGGCATTGTTGGTATTAAATATAAGCAATTTTTTTAAAAATAGATTTAGGGTATGTTTGGATTGGTACTAGGCAAAACTGACTTCTAACCTAACTGACTTTTGTAACTGAAGTTAGAGTAAAAGTTAATTAGGATATGCTTCGATAAGTGTTTTTAAAAAGTCAGTTGAAAAAGTTAAAAATTATTTGGATGATTAATAGAAAAGTTAGTTTAGTTGTAAAATGACTGAAAAGGACATGGACTTAATTGAATAATAATGTTTGAAATTTTATGTTTTTATGTGATAATAGTTTAAAAAAATACATAAAATTATTATTATAAAATATAAATAGTTTATTTGTGAAATTATAAAATAAAAATATTTTTTACGAAGAAAAATTTGAAAAAACATTGTAGATAATTAATTAAATATATATAATGAACAAACATGAATATAAATTAAAATTCATTTGATCTGAATAAAAGCTCATTATGCTAACAAAGGAGATGAGGCAGAGGAGAAAATATGAAGATAAATCTGGGATGCTCATTTTTAATGATCATCATTTGAAATTGCAGTTTAAAAAGTCAGATTTTTCTTCGTTAAGTCCAACTGAGGTGAAAGCCAGAAGTTGGTTGGAAAAGTTAACCCAGTCAGACAATGTTTTTGGTTCAACTCAGTTTGCAACCTCAGTTTCACCATTTTGAAGATACTTTTGCTGTTGAAAACGGCAATCCAAACATGCACTTAAACTTTAGTTTACTATCTTATGAGGAATTAGTCTTTTTTGCTAAACCCAAGTGGATAATGTCATATAACTTGCAGACACCAAGCCTTTAGCAGGCTACTCAGGTCCAACAAGGATTTTTGGGAAACAAAAACCGCAACCAAAGGCTACGTTGGGAAGGGAGGCAATCGGGCTCATGCTTAGATTGGGCCTGTACTTGATGGCTCATGACTTGGAAAAAGATTTTGGGCCCCATGTGCAGTGTTTCAAAAGGGGCATTCACCAGCGGAAGAACGCTAGAATCCCTACCTAGGGTTTAAGCATTCTGATTCTGCTTCTGCCAGAAACCGACACCTCTTCGTCGAAGAAACCATGTTTCCAGGAATGTTTTTGCGTAAGCCAGACAAGGCTGCAGCGCTGAAGCAACTGAAATCTCATGTCGCCATGTTCGGTGCTTGGGTCGTTGTAATTCGAGTCACCCCTTACGTCCTCCACTATCTCGTCGGAGAGAAGGATGAGCTCAAGCTTGAACTCTAGATTCTGATCCCCAGGTAACGAAGCAAATTTAGTTGGACCTAGTGATTGTAAATTTTCAAAGTTTAATGAATCTGTTTCGAGTTGACATTCGTCGTGTAACACCTCTTTCTTTCTGCATCACGATTTGGTAATTCATGGACTGGTCAATTGCTTTCTTTGCTTTCTTTCTTTTTTTAAAAAGAAAAAACAGACTTTGCTTTGTTTTATTCATGCCCTGGATCTTGCTGCATTCGATCTATGCTAAAGAATTAAAATCAAATTGAATTAAATTCAAGGTTCATCTGATATAATTAGATTAATTGGGATCACGGACAACTAATTAATGCATTTAGTAAATCTTAGTTGAAGAATGTAATTTATCCACCTTTTTTGTCGTCATTTTATGATATGGCGGATTCCAGTTTACATGCTTGGAAGAAAACTGAACCAGAAAGTAGGAATCAAAAACCAAAACGGAGAAGAAAATTCTGGCTTTTGTCAGGACTGCTCGAGCTCTCAAGCGAGCCTTCCCACCTTAATCCTTTCCCCTCTAACAAGCTCCATACCGATAAAAACACCCAAACAGCATTATACCACATATTCAATCTGATAATAATTTTTGTCCCATTGTTATCTTTTGGCGAACTGTTCAGTAATAACAGCAGGGATAGTATTGAAAACTGTTGATGGGATCTTGAGTTTGCAGTAAGGAAGAAGAGCATCCCTTTAGACTGGGTTTACATGATTGCTTTTACACAAGTCTACTTATGACTTGCACAGTTAATTTGGTCATGCTTAGGTTAGGAGAGATAGTATGTACATTTGGGAGCTTGGAGTGGGTGGTGAGCTGAGTTTGGACTGTCTCAATTCGTGGAGGGAGGAGAATGTGTCACTTTGAATAAATTCTAAGATCACCTGAAAAATAGACGGAATAAGTTTTGGAAATTTGATCATGGTGATTGGTTTTCCTTTCACAACTTGAGACAATCCAACCCTGGTATGCCAGTGCCTACGTCATAGGTCTTACTAATTAGTGGCTTGATTAGTTTCAGAACTATGTTATTTCGTGTTTTTTTTTTTTTGCTTGCATATTTATTGATCTCGTTTGGTATATTTGAGCATGTTTCTTCTTGCTTCTGAGAAATGAGAAACATGGAATGATTTGTGTAACTTTACTCTGTTTCAATAGGTTCTCAGTTGGCCTTGCGAAGAAGGACGGACTTGGGTCGTGGAAGTAATTTTTGGGATTGAGCCATCATATGTTATGAGTTGAATTATGTATATTTTCATTTATTAAGGTGGCCAGCCGCGTAATGGGGCTATTTGACAATTTAATGTAGTGAATCTGGTTATTCTGTGATAAGTCGTGAAGAAGAGTTTCTTCATACATCTGCTGTCTGTTCCTTTTGCCGCAATTCATTTTTATCCCCTAGAAGGCATGCGATATTTCTAGTCACTCAAATACCATGCGAAATGGACTAAAATAGAATAAAAATGAGTGGCCGGAATTTTTTTTTTAAAATCTTTTTAATAAAAACAGTAGTAGAGGGAGACAATTATGTAATAAGATACTCCTCCAGTCCTAATTATAGAAATTACTTGAGGCAAAATAGATAAATATTAAAAACAAAATAAATGTGAGTGTTATATTTAAAATCAAATTAAAAGTCAAAGATGGTACTCCTCCGGTCCTAATTATAAGACCCAATTGATTTATTTGAGGAGATTAAGGAAGTAAGTTAAGCTGGTTATTTATAATAAATAAGTGTTGTCATTCCTAAAGTATCCTTACTAATTAAGTATATTGGCTAAAACTATCATTATTAGAAGGATTATCTTGGGAAAAAAATGCATAAATATAAGAGACAAAATGGATTGGGTCTTATAATTAGGACCAAATAAAAAGTCAAATTGGGTCTTATAATAAGGATCGGAGGAGTATAACAGATGGGCCAAATATTCAATGATAACAATAGAGATATAGGGCGAATAGTATATTCATGTAATTAAGATTTCTGTCTCTTTGTTCCTTCCGAGTTAGTGGGCGACTCAGAAGCCGGAATTCAACAGTGATTTCGATCACTACATTTGAAGAGTGTTCTCCGTCATCCTCTCTCGGTTATTGTCCAAGATAACAACTTAAAATTAGAAGAGTTTATTTGACATTTAATTTGATTTTTTTTTTTGGCCAATAACATTCAATTTGATTTTAAATATAAGATCTTAATCTATTTGGTCTTTCTGTCCATTTTTTTTAAAATAATTTTTGTAATAGTTATGTTGAAAATTTTATTAAATGATAGTTCTAACTAATATATATATAATTAGCAAGAATATTCTAAAAAAATAATATATATTTATTGCAAATAACTAAGTTAACAAATTATACTAATTTACTTAAATTAGTTAACTAATTTTTATATTAAGTACAAAAGATAATATTATTATAAAATATAATGGCGGCTTGTGCAAAACTCTCAATTCGGATAACTGGAAGCCTAACAAGGAGACCATGGTTTATATAGTCTTGAAAATAGATTGATTTTTACTCCCATTTGGTGAGCGGTGTGAGAAAAAAGGGCCTACAAAAATTACCAATTCAGTTTATTTTATTTATTGGAACTGTTTGGTCTACTACAAATTATCTATTTAAAAATATTAATGATGCCATTCTTTCGGTCAAAATTAATTATGTTGGCTAATTATTAAGAAAAGAAAAATCATAAATTTGTTTGGTTCTTTTGATATTCCTTCCTGCTTAACTCGTTTGGACCAGCCGTACATTGCAACCAATCTTCACTCTCAGAGACAAACCGTAATGATCAGTACTCACTTAGCTCCGCATCTGAATTTGCAGCATCTCTTTCCTTAAAGCTCCAGCCATTTCCTCGTTCCCCTGTCTCATATACCCATCAATGAAAGCACCATATATCTCTGAATCTAATTGAAACCCTTTTCCTATCATCTCTGCCTGAAGCTTCAATGCTTCTTCCATCCTTCCCTCATAACATAGCCTCTTTATCATGGCCTCATAACTCGTTTCCTTGGGAAACAAATCAAATTTATCCATTGCATATCTCAGAAACTCTAATGCTTCATCAACCCTACCCTTGTCACAAAGCAGCCTAATCATCAAGTCAAGAGTTAAAGCTTCTGGCTTAAAAGCCTTCCTGCACATATCTTTATAAACAAGAATTGCTGAATCGATGTCTCCTATATCACAGTGTCCCTTGATGATGTGCTCATATGTTGCAGATGTACCTTCTATACCATTCATTGCCATTTCTCTGTAAAACTCTTCAGCCCTCCCAACATTTCCAGTCTTGCAAAATCCACCAATCATGGTTTCATAACTCACTGCATCAGGCTCCAAGGCTTTAGTTCTCATTTCTTGCCACAACTTCTCTGCTTCTTCCATTTTCCCTTCTCCACAAAATACAGCCATCAATACAGTATAGCTATAAGCATTGGGAACACAGTTCAATTCAACCATTTCGTCCCAAATCTTTTTCACCTTCTCAATCAAACCGTTTCGATAGCAGCATAACATTAATGTGTGATAAGTATAAACATTTGGGGTAACTCTAATATCCCTCTTCAAATCTTTCTCGCTTTGCTCATCTAACCGAAAGACCTCTCTGTAAATTTCATATCCTGCTTCAACCCCTCGAGATTGGCAAACGCAGTAAATCAGAGAATTCAAGGTACTGACATTCAGGCTAATCCCACGGGACCGTAACAATCTCATGATTTCAATTGAAGGGTCAATATTTTTTGATCCCAAACAAGCTTTGATCAACAAATCGAACACAAATGGAGCAGAACCACAATCTTTATAAGTCTTCACTAGATTCTCGAATACCTTTAATGATGTCGACCTGGGATTATTTCCGTCATCGTCCTCCCGCAATTCGGACGCTCGAATAGCCATACGAATTATGTCCTGGGCATGTGACTTGAGACGGCCACGAGCAAGAATGTGGATGATTGTGGAATAAGACGCGAGGTTGTGGTTGCAGAGGGATTTGCTAAAGCGAAAAAACTGGTATGCGAGATGCGGTCTGTTCCTAAGGTGAAGGGTAATTTGAGAAAAATCGTCGGGATCGAAGCCATCGGGGTAGAGAGAACGGAGGTAGCTCCAGCGAGACTTGGAACGGCGGTGGGTGAGGATAGAAACGGCGGTGGTTACGGCAGTGGTGGGGGCCTCATCGGATGACGATGGTGATGAAGAGTAACAGAAAACAGACGAGGATTTGCGAGCTTGGGATGTGAGGGGAAAACGCTTAAGGAGTTGAGCCGCCATTGACAGGAGCGTAATTGTGAGCGCAACACAGAAAGCGAACCATGTGGCAAATGAAACGCCCCTAAAACGCTACAAATTGGCTCACGAACTATGAGGAAGAGGTTAGAGACTTAGCAAACCAGAGTGAGCAAACACAGTGGTAGGAATAAATTCCAAAGTCTCGAGCCTTGAATTTGATTCAATATGAATTTTAATTGTTTCATGTTGAAAATGAATACAATGCGAGAGGCTTTCGCCGCCGTACCCCTTGACTCCCACAACAAGCTTCTCTTCTTGCGTTCTCGCCGTCGGCCGTCACGTTCTCTTTCTCCTTCAAGCTCGCTTCTTCCGGCGTTAGTGTTGGATTCGCTCGTCCCCAATGTTCCTTTTTTGTTTTTATGCGTCAGCTTATTTGTCTTTGGGCTTGTGCTGGTTGAAAGGCCCACAAGCTAAAAATTGCAGCCCTTTTTCCCTTTCGGATCGGGTTATGGGTCGGAACTCGTCCATTTTTGTTGGTGCACATCCCTAATTCCCCGCTTAATAATGTGAGTTTCATTTTTGAAAAATACATAAATATTACCAATAGGAATTGAACCTAATGAAAGGTACTAGTTCCTTACAATGTAACAAAATAAGATTCAAAATCCCGTTGGAAAAAGTCTTACATTGAATATCTGATAGTGTCTTAAATAGGATTACCTCTCATAACAAGAAACCTATGCAATGCAAAAAATCAAAAACTAGTCCATCGTTTACATTCTTGAACTCAATTAGACGCCAAGACAAAAGTGCATTTTTCAATATTAATGATATGATAGGTGGTTTAAATTTTCCATAGGGATATTTTATGAAACATACATTAATTGAACCTAGAAATTTGCATTGAGACAGTATATTTTGGAGGGGACAAAAAAAGAGTTTGAAATTGGGACCTGTATCAGGAATGGAGGAAGTACATATTAAATCAAAACTTTTTCCCATTTCACCGGAAAAAAATTAGAAACAGTAAAACATTGCACATTTTTCAAAGTTAAAAAAAAAAAAAATAAAGGAGGACGAGACGAGATAATATTTTTGTTGTATTTTGTTGTTTTGGAGGATGGGTCAATTTATAAGTCAGCGGGATCATCATTGATTTTTGTTCTCACTTCTCAGCAACACCTTTGCCTGCCTGAATGCCGCTGTTTTGACTTTTTCATGCACACTCACTGGCTGCGCCTAATGGAGTAGGAAATTGGAGCTTCTGACTTTTTCTTTGTTTCTTTTAAAACATGTTTTTGATTTCCTATCGTTAGGTTTGATACGAGAAAAATAAAAGAGAGGAGAGATTAGGAAAAAGTTTAATAAGCTTAATCTTTAAAAAACTGGAGAAGTAAAGTTTTAAAATTTAATAAAGAGAAAATATAAGATAAAAAAATTAAAAATTAATTAAAAATTTTTAATCCCTCTTCTCTATTTTTTTTAAATCAAGCTTATTAAAGTTTTTTCTCCCTTCCTTTTTTCTCTATTTTCTTCATACCAAATGGATGCTAAATTATTCTCTTTAATTATATGTATTCGAATTATTTCTTGATAGGAGCAGCTTACAACTAATAAAGATATTTTAAAAAAACTATAAATTTAAAAAACAAAATAAATTAAAATCTCATATTTAAAACTAAATAGCTCTTATACCTAGGATAAAAAGTAGTACTTCATAAAAACAATGTATTTATAAAACTAAATTGGATAGAACTCGATAAATATTATCCAAAAATAAGTATATCAAGTTTTTTATCTATTGTGCATGAAAAAAACAGTTGTCTACTAATAATATAGCGGATGAATTTGAAAAATTAAGTTGACAAGAAAGCCATGAGCCTGTGACTGATTCACTGTTTTGATCATCCATTCCTCTATTGAACAGTCGTGATGAAATTGCCTTTATGTCCTTTCCATTTACTTGATTTTGCATTTTGATTAAAGATTTACACTCAGATTAGTAAGGATGATTCAATACTTTCTCCGCCTGGCTTGCGCTGTCCGCCTCTATTTTCCCGTTGCTTTTCCTAGAAAGTGGATTTCCCCCATGCAACATAGTGTACACCTTCTGTTTCGCTTGATATGGATTGCTGTTGGATCAGGCACTTTTTATTTTTTTCTTTCAAGCCCCTGGATCTGGCACCCAATATTAAAAGTTAACAAAGAAACAAATCCAATGTCCAATTAAAAACAGATCTCAAATTTCTGATAGGCCAATTTTCAACTTCCTTCTAGATTGTTGCTTCTCCTGTTCACTGTTTTAGATCTGGCAGCCATTTGTTTAATATAGAAACTCCAGTATAATTTTGTTTAACCTCACAGAGTAGTTAAAATACTCCGTTTTTTTTTTTTTATAATAGAATCTCGAAGTGCTTGAAAATAAGCACGCACGCACACATGACATGACTGATTAAGAAGATATTAATAATATTAAAAATGGTGATTTTCATCAATGGGGCATTGAATGGTTTTGTTAAGGTTCCAAGAGCGATTACCAACAAGGCTGAGCAATGAAGTGATTTAGCACTACTGGACAGGGGCGGTCATTAATGATAGGGTCAAACGAAATAAATATACAATAATAAAAATTAAATATGTTAAATAAATTACTATCACTGTACCATCATCAATGACGTGTCTTTGGCTTAAATTCCTTGGAAAATTGGTAGTATTCTCTATTTCTCCCCACTCTGCCAAAAAGCACCTCGCCTTAAATTCACCAAAGTTGACGTGTCTTTCACAGTCCTACATAGCCTCCCCTCCCTTTATCTCTCTCTCTCTATTCCTTCCACACACTGTGCAGCCTGAAGAATCAGATTAAGACGGAAGGGAAGAGGAAAAACCAAAAAAAAAAACAAGAGGAAAATAAACACTTTCAGTCAACCTTTGCATTAAACTCACGAACCAAGTTCTACAGTTTCTTTCTTTTAATCTCTCTCTGTTTTTATGACTCCTGGAGAATCAAAAACCCTATTTCTTACCTCTCACAGAAACTCCATGATCATTCTCATGATGATGATGATTCCACCGGCGTCTTCTTCTTCTTCTTCAGCTCCTTCTCAGCCACCCCATCTTGGCGTTCACCGCTGGGCCCCATCTGCTTCTCCGGCACCGGCCCCTTCACCGTCCACCCCTGCCCCCGCTCTCCTTGCGGTACCTGTCGGCAAACCATCACCTCTGCCCTCTAAGTTGTCGGTTGACTTCAGCCCACCGCTAATTGCAATGGTGGTCGTCGTTGCCGCCGCCTTCATCGTCGTCACCTATTCCCGCCTCATCTCCCGCCACCTCGTGCCTCCGATAACCCGCCTTGCTCGCCGGTGGCGCCGCCGTAGGCGACGTTCCTACCCACCCTCCTCCTCCGGCGACCTCGACTCACTTCCTTATGATTCTCCTTTTGAGCCGATTGATGGGCCTCACATGTTCTCCCCTTATGGTCTCGACGAGTCCATCATCAAGACCATACCGTTTTCCCTCTACACCGCCAAATCCAAGGATCAATTCGAAGAGTCTCGACGCGATTGCGCAGTTTGTTTGTTGGAGTTCGAAGACGATGAGTACGTCCGAACGCTGCCTTTTTGTTCTCACACTTTTCACCTGGATTGCATCGACGTTTGGCTCAGGTCGCACGCCAATTGCCCCCTGTGCCGCGCCGGAGTTTTGTGCGCAGAGTCCCCGTTCACGCCAATGATGGCAGCGAGGATTCGACCGAGCCTCGACGACGACACGATTTTGCATAGAATCAGTATGGACCCTATGGTCGAAGCTCCATCGCCAGTGGCTCATTCTCTGGTGTCAGAGATCACTCCTTGCAACGAAGAGCAATCACCGAGAAGGAACCACGCGAATCCGGAGGACGATCGATTCAACGGCGGTCGTGATTTCCTCCTGAAGCGATCCTACTCGTTCGGATTCGAACGGAGCTTGGCGTCAGAGAGAATGGTGATGGAGCCGGCGACGGCGTCGCCGTGGCGGTACCACCGAAGGGGAAGCAGCAGCAGCTTCTGGAGCAAAAGGCCGTCACCGTTCGGATCGTTGGGAAAGTCCAGAGTGTTCTCCTTCAGATACTACAGAGGGATGAAGTCGCCGTTCTTCCGGAGGCGAGGGTTCTTTCCTCTGTCGGAATCAAGCATAAGATCATACAACGGAGGAGGAGGAAGCTCGTCACGGCGAAGCAAGTCAATCGCAAGCCCGATGTTCCTGAGATCGTCAGCAGCCTTGGCGGCGGCGGGAGCAGCAGCTTTCTCGTCGAGCCGGCTGAGGTGCGGCGACCCGGAGGCATTGCTGTCACCGGAGAGATACAACAGGAGATAAAAGAAGGAAAAGGAAGAAGTGGGAATTATTTTTTGTAACTTTTTGGGTTGGGGGGGTACGTGGAAAGAGATAATTGGTGAAAAGACCGTCGGAGATGGTGACGGAGAGAAAAGGGCGGCGGGGGAAGGAGGAGAGAGAGTGGGGTCAGGGAGAGAGGAGAGAGAGGAATAGGAATTAATGGAGGGGATTAATGAGAGGGCCTGTCAATATGTAGAGGGTCATTAATGGGAAGGTGGCTCTGCATTTAATGTCTCATCAATTTGACGAGAAAGAGAGACAGAGCTTCTTCAATTCACTCTCTCGTGCTCATATTCCCTCTGCCTGCGCCTGCTTCCCTTGCACAATGTCTCTGCTCTGAAGTTGAGAGGGAAAGAAGCTCATAAATGGCGGGAGGATAAGGCTTCCCTTTGGCCCTTCCCTCTCCCAGTTTTGATTACACATGGAGTATTTATGTACATTATCACGCTTTGTGCTTCTTTTTAATTAATTAATTATTAATTAGAATTTTGGGGACTTATCTGCTCATTATACTTGATGCATGTTTTTGTTTGGGTGGAAGGGAGATTTCATTCAAAAGGAATAAAAGATGCAATCAAGGGGAATTAAACCCCACTCCTAAGTACAAAAGAGGGTGATTACAATGAAGACATGATAAACCAAGAGTTCTCCTAGCATGGTGTGGGTATTGTACTGCTCTAGTCCCATTACAAGTGGGTTTTTTTTTTTATTAAAAAAAATTAGTTTCAACATTCAAATATAAGTGATCGAGAGGGTTAGCATTAATTATTGTTTTTAAATATTACATCTATTAATGTGAGAGAGTGTGAAGGAAAGGAATGAGAGAAAATTTATAGCATTTGTTTTCGATACACATTTTTTAATGAGAGTAAATTCAAAAAATTTTATTAACTTAAAATATACTCATCCGGTCCTACTTATAAGGCACTTTCAACATATTTTACACATATAAAAAAAATCTTAAATTTCATTAACCCTCATTTAAAATTTAATGACTTTTCAACTTTATCTTTATTTAATATGCATTATAGTACCTCATATAAATAAAATCAACACAATAATAAATAAGAGGTAAAATTGTATATCCATATAAAAAATTTCTCTCAGTGTCTTATAAATAGGATCAGAAAATACATTCTCTCTCTGTCCTATAATAGGAACAAAAAATTACATTCCCTCTCTACCCTATAAATAGGACCAAAAGAGTATTTAATCCTAAACTGCATTGGTTAGGGAGTTGATTTTGATTTGCAATGTATTGAAAGTAAATAATTTATTTAGTATTCTTAACCTATCTAAATCTGTTTATGCATTAAAAATCAGAAGAATAACTTAAATGTCATTCTTTATTTGTAAGAATTTTTTGGAAGTTACTTTTATAACCTAGTCGACAACAGAAGTAGTAATAATTACGCGTTTTATTTATAGAGTAGAGAAAGAAAGTTTTTTTTGTCCCATTTTTATAAGTCACCTCATTAAATTTTCAACGTGAATATTTTGTTTTGTCATTCATTTATTATTGTGTAGGTAGTTATTTCTTTTGAAATGTTTATATATTAAATATGGGTGAAGTTAAAAAATTGTTATATTTTAATGAAGAGTTAATGTATTTTAAGATTTTTCTTAGTCTGTGTAAAGTATATTGAAAGTACCTTATAAATAGAACCAGAAGAGTAATATACTCTCTTGATCTTATTTATAGGATAGAGAGAGAATAAAATTTTTAATTTTATTTATACGGTAGAGAGATAAAATTTTCACATCAATATATAATTTTAACATTCATTTAATATCATGTTTACTTTGTTCTCGTAAAGTATATTGTATATTAAATAAGGATAAAATTATAAAGTTATTAAATTTTAAATTAGAATTAATAAAATTTAAACTTTTTATTGATTTGCATCAAACATGTTGAAAGTGATTTATAAATAAAATTATAAGAGTAAATAATTTCTAAAATATAATAATCAAAATAAATGGAATACAAAGGAATGAGGGGAAGCTAGCTAGGTGAATTAACGGGGAGGGGGTAAATAGCTTGGGAACATTAATGAGGGGGGTAATAGTAATTTCGTTACCAGAGGCATGGAGGAGGGGAAGCCATGTGGGAAAGAACCCAAATGATATGAATAGGCACATTAATTGTGGTGCCTGGACGCGGCCAATCTCTTCCTTTGGTTGGTTTGGTTGTAATTAATATTATTTGCATTTTGGATCTCCAGCCTTGCTTTCTCATCCCTATCCACACTTTACCTTATCTCTACTTTACTGGTAATTAAAAAAAGAAAGACTGAGCATCATGCGGCATTATGGGAATTAATCACCAAAATAATAATAATAATAATTGTGTTATTATTATTATAACAACTAGGGGTGTGCATGGACTAGACTGGACCGGGTTTGTTATCAACCCGAAGTCTGGTCTAGTAAAGACCTCGGGCTGAAAAAAACAGCCCGAGGTCTGGTCCAGTCCAGTGCCAACCCGAGGTCGGGTTGGACTGGACTTGGTCCTCTAGACTACCTAGACCAGTCCAGGCAGTCCAGACCTAATTTTAATTTTTTTTAAAAAATTTTTTTTCTTCAATAGGAAGCAAAATTGTAACTTACTATATAAAATTTTGCACATATTTTAATTCAAAATTTATCAAATTTGATCATTCCTTTTCAATTTCCCAATGAAGTCATGTTTTATTAATTAATCCTCTTCAATATAGATCTTAAATTGTAGAAAATATATATGCATGCTCATTACTTCGAAAGTTAATAGATAAATCTTAATTATTTGAATAGATAAAAAATCTATATAGAAAAATTAAATCAAATTAAAATTATATCAATAATAATTTTAAAAAATCGGGCTAGACTGGACTGGACCAACTGGTCTAAGGGGTCAGTCCCTAGTCCAGTCCAGCCCGATGAGACCAGTCCGGTCCAGTCTTGTTTCGGGCCAATTTTTTCTGGACCGGACTGGACTAGGTCTGTTCGGGTTGGACCGGACCATACCGGACCACTGGGTTTTTGCACAGCCCTAATAACAACTAGTGGAATCCTGTGGCTTCAAAAGGAGATTAGTATTATACTTTTTCGTCTCTTTTTATAAATAACAACTATTACTCTCTTTTTATCTTTAAATATAAATAATATTTGTAAGTTGTCTTAAGTTTTTATGACAAATTTCTTATTTTATCCCATTAATTACTTATTTTAATATTCAATATATTTGTTATTTTATTTTTCAAACTATCATCTCTTTTCATCACACATTCTCTCTTTTTTATTATTCTTTTTATCATAATAATTTTCTTATTCTCTTTCTTATACTCTCTTTTCGCCATAAATAAAAGTATTTTGAAAAAAAATCTAATTTTTAATTATTTATTGTCTTTAATTAACTTTTTAATTTACGTAATATAGTCTTATGTTACCTATAAAAAAAAGGACGGAGCGAGTAATATTTAAAGAGTATGGTGTTTTGTTTTTCCAAATTGGCGAGCAGAAAGAGTGGTGCTAATTTGACGAAAGAGAGAGAGCGATTGGGAGAACCGTGGATGAGTGGAAACAACAACAAAGTGCGGATCAGGCCATTTTTCCAATGTGAGTCATAAGTCAACAAAAGTGTTCAGCCCATAATAATTGGAGTTCTCGCAAAATGTGGCCCAAATAAAATGTCCTTTCCTCAATTGTTTATCCCCCATGAGATTTCAGTTCTTCTGATATAAAACGCGGTAGGTTCTTTAGACATGAGGGAATCAACTTTGAAGCCACTTAGTCCGTTAGTATGAAGTATTAAAAATAAAAGATTGAGATTGAGATTATAATTAAAAAAATAATTAAAATACTACCTCTCGTCCTAATTATAAAAACTAGTTGATTAATTTGAGGAGACTAAAAAAATAAGTTAAGTTAGTTATTTGTAATAAATATGTGTTGTATTTCCTAAAATATCCTTACTAATCAAGTTTATTGGCTAGGACTAGTATTATTAGAGGGACTATCTTGAGAAAGAATGCATAAATATGAAAGACAAAGTGGATTGAGATCTTATAATTAGGACCAAAATAAAAATCAAACGAAGTCTTATATTAAAGACCGGAAGTAGTATTTAGTATGAGTAATTGTTTATTATATGGGATTAGACAAACTCATAGAGGTGGGATTGGGAAATACCACTTCCCATCAAGTTATTCTTTAATTTCCCATACATAGACTTAGCTAATCCCATATAACAAATAATCTCTTATATTAAACACTCTTTTAATAGATTTTCTTAATTACAATCCTAATCCCAATCTCTTATTTTTAATACTTTCTACCAAACGTAACCTAAATGTATATTAAAGTAATTGGAAAAACACTACTACAATATTCAATTTCATTTAGTTGGGTGATTAGTGGAGCTCAGGGGCTGTAGGGAATTGATCATTTATATTATGTGTAGATGGAAAAAAACATATATTCTTCCAGTTCTAAACGTAAGACTATTATACATACTAGTATAAAGGTCTTATATTTAGAATCGGAGGAGTAATATATATATATATATATATATATATAAAGTGTGTGTTTAAAAGTGTCAGAGAAAATGTGTGTATATGAAAGGGACGACAAAGGGCCAAGACGATGAAATGAGCTAGTTTCACATTGCAAACACGTTTTTCCCCCCTTAATTAAACACATAAATATTATAGCTGTTTCCAAGAGTTCACAAATTCAAAATTGTTTGACTTGGTGAAAAATGCAATCCTAACTCATACAATGGTTAACAAATAAAATTGGAAAGATTTTTATAAACTAATTTTAAATGATGCGGTAGTAGGATATTCAATAGCATTAGATCCGTATAAAACTGCATTAATTAAGAAAGGAACAATCAACTATTTATTTATTTATTTTATTTATTTATGAACCATACGCCTTTAGAATTAAAAAAATGGACTCCTTTTTTACTAGAGCGGGTAATATACTTTCCCAAAACCCCGTTGAAAGATTTTTGTATGTATATCCGGTGTGCAATACACTTTGTTAGT